CCAAGGAGGACAAGCAGAAAGAAGGCCCAGAGACATATGAAAAGATTCTCAGCATCACTAGCCATCAGAGAGATACAAATTAAAATCACAATGAGATACCACTTCACACAGTCAGAATGGCCATCATAAACAAATCAACAAACAACAAGTGCTGGCAAGGTTGTGGAGAAAAGGGAACCCTAGTACATTGTTGGTGGGAATGCAGATTGGTAGAGCCACTGTGGAAAACAGTTTGGAATTTCCTCAAAAAACTAAAAATGGAACTGCCTTTTGACCCAGCAATTCTACTGCTGGGATTATACCCTAAGAATCCCAAAACACCAATCCAAAAGAACCTATGCATCCCAATGTTCATAGCAGCACAATTTACAATAGCCAAGTGCTGGAAGCAACCTAAGTGCCCATCAATAAATGAGTGGGTCAAAAAACTATGGTACATTTACACAATGGAATACTGTGCAGCAGAAAGAAAGAAGGAACTCCTACCTTTTGAGACAGCATGGATGGAACTAGAGAGCATTATGCTAAGCGAAATAAGCCAAGCAGTGCAAGACAAATACCGTATGGTCTCCCCTATAAGTGGAACCTAATCAACAAAACAAACAAGCAAGAAAAATATAACCAGCAACATTGAAAGAAAAAATAAACCAGCAGTAACCAGTGGGAGGGGTAGGGGGTAATGGGGGAAAGATGGGGAAGTGTCAAATCAAGGAACATGTATAAATGACCTATGGAAAAAGCCAAAGTGGGGAAGGACTAAGGAGGGGGGGTGGGGGTGGGTGGGGCAGGGGAAAGTGGTGGCAGGAAAATGGAGACAACCGTACTTGAACAAAAAATAAATAAATTAAAAAAAACGGTTTATCAGAGCCAAGCATGCCAGGAAGTAGCATGAAGCCACGTGACCGACAATGGCTGTCACATGATTTGATGCACAAGAGTATTTACTGACCAACCATGATGTTGTGGATGTTGTGTATCCAGCATACAAACCAAGCTGTGATCACTCATTGCAGTTACAAATGTTTCTGTTACACCATTTTGGCAATACATGAAAACATTATAAATTTATAAATGTTCCATGAATAAATAGATATGGCAAATGCTAATATAATGGAATATTTCAAAACTGGAAATATGGACTGAGATAACTGATATAAAATGTTGGAATGATGTCTTTACTAGGGAATTTACAAACAACTTGCCAGAGAAAAATAACATAGGATAATTTTGCCTGCTGTAATAGTGAAAGCTTAAGCAAAATGATTGGAAATGAATATTATTCCTTAATCTTCTAATGCCCCTAAAAATCTGTGTGGTAATACAGTACACAAATCAATTAATCTATATATATCATGGAGGACATCAACAAGAAACAAAGGGCGTACTTTACTGATTAATGTGATGGTAGCAGTTCCAAGGACTTTACAAAGGAGTGGGCAGGACTTGGGACAATGAGATAGTACAGTATCCCAGAGCTGACAATGCCTGGAGGTCGTGGCCAGCCTGAGTTCTGAAGGGGCACGGGGAGGGGAGTGGTTACTGTCAATGTAAGAAATGCCCAAACCTGTACTTATTTTTATGAGTTTATTTGAGCCAAACAGATGACAATTTCCAGGAAGCAAAACTACAACAGACTGAGAAAATGCTCTGGAAAACAGCAGTTTTGCACCTTATTTTATACATTACAATCAAAAGAGGAGGTATAAGTGAGTTACATAAAATCCACTGGTGATAGATTAAGGAGGCAGGAGAAAGCAAAGCAGGAAAACTTCTGGGACTGGATAAAAAATAAAATTATAGACACATACTTCTTTTACACAGATACGTATATGATAGCTAACAGTTAACAATGAACACAATCGGGGGATTTGCGGTTTCTCTCTGGTGTAGTGCCTGTGCTTTGAGGGGTCTGGAAGATGGAAATTATTTTGACATTCCAAAGGTATGCTATTGTAGGTGCAAAAAGACAAAAGAGATTTAATTGGGTAAAGACTGACTTTTGTCAGGGAAGACTCTAGTTTAGGACATGACTACCTGCCGTAAACTGCTTTTAGTTACTAAGTTTTAATTTCAGCCCATCCTTTGTGGTTACTTTAGGTCTGTGAGTTTGTAAGGCTGCCATGCAGACTGCCCCTGAGCTTGTCAGGTTAGTATGTAGCCCCTTTTGGTCCACTTTACTGAACCCCAGAGAGGGTAACTGCATGGAGACAGGCACTGAGAGAAGACATGGCCTTGGGTAGAAGGTGCAGATATGAAGACTCCACAGGCAGGAACCCAGAGAAATAGATACCCCAAAATCATTCTGCTCCCACCTACAAAATGCCTTCCAGTCCCTCTCACTGCTTGTCCCAATCAGAAGCCAGAGGCTAAAAGAGTCTGTCTGTGTTGTTCATAAAAGCCAAGTTTCTGCGACACAGGACAAAAGAGGGTGGAGAGGGGACCTAAAGATGCAAATAGTCATTGGATGTCAATTTTCACCGTTTCACCCTTCTCTTCTTTACCAACCAATAAAGAATGCCCAAGATGTGAACCTTTTCAAGAGATGTCTTGAAATGACTGAATTATAAAGTCTAAATAATCAGGAGCTTCCTATAATCTGTATGAAAGAAGCTTTATACCCAAATCTGGGCCAAAAGCTACATCTGTATTTGGCAGAACAAAGTCCTTGAAGTTACTGTCATCAGTTTAAATCTCACCCTTAGATTTGAGACTACGTAATAAGCTACACAACTTTTCTTTGACCTGCATGGTGAGAAAATTCTCTAAAAATTTGTTTTAGTTAAACATCCTTGTGGTGTGAGAAAGGGAACACTTCAAACAAATTCTAGTTTAAATTCTATAGAGGTTTGCATAATACCCAAGGATGAAATCATATTATAGCTAAATAACGCCTTGAATTTTTTCCTACTGTATTTCATAAAACAGATATTTCTCACCAGTATTCCTAAATAAAAAAATTATTCCACACACTACAAGCTTCCTTTAAAAAGATATCCAAGAACAAGCAAAATTAACCAATAATGACACAAATCAGAATAGTGGCTACTTCTGATGGGAGGGAGGATTAGGTCTGGGAAAAGACATGAAGGAAACTTCTGGGGTGCTGCTAGAAATGTTCTATATCTAGACCTTGTTTTACATCTTGATACATATTACACATATTAAGAATCGTTGAGCTTAACAATTAATATTAGTGCAGTTCACACACTACACTGTTTGTTGGTATGTTCTATGTCAATTCGAAAAGAAATAATTACCCCATTAAATGACTTTTGCAATTACCTCCACAGGAAAAATCATATCATAAAAAAGGTCTGGGTTTAGGCATTTACCAGGGGTCAGCAAACTACGGCCATAAACCACCAGCCTCTTTGCTAAATGAGGTTTTACTGGAACAGCCGCAGGCAGCGTCCGCACTACAGCTGCAGGGGTGAGTAGTTGCGACAGAGGCCTATCAGCCTTTAACAAAAGGTGTGCCAACACCAGACTTATGCTTCAAATAATATATTTAAACTGTTCCTTTTTTAGGATAATTCAAATCAACCTCACCTAAATACCAAAGTAACAAGGAGTTTAATAAGACAGCTGAGTAAGTCACTCAGTTAACTGTAACCAAAAATTTCATGAAACTCTCACATGAGGGTGGCAGCATTCTTTTGCCTTGAGCTGCACTATGGGCTTAATGACACAGATCACAAATTGCAATTTTATTTGGCTTTATGTAATGTCAATTTTTAAAAATCTGTTACTAATATTTTAAAAATATAGTGTCCACTTTAAAAAAACAATCAAGATTTTGGCTGCTCTTACAAAAAAAAAAAAAGGAAGATGAAGCAACTTGAGGATAATATTCCTATAAAGTAACAATAAGCTACAGGGACTCCAACAACACTGAGCCTAGACATTGGCTTCCACATCACACTGCGCTTGCACTGTCCAGAAGATCACAGTTAAAAAGGATGACCAACTGAAGGAGGACAGATTACTATGCAGCTTCCAATATAAACCAGAAAGCTTTAAAAATAAACACAAGGTATACTTAAAAAAAAAAAGTTTATGGGGAGGTACCATTATTTAAAAAAGAAATGCTCTTCAATTAAGACAATTTATCTAATTATATGAACTCTTACCCTACTATAGCTTTGATCAGGGTAGAGCTGAACAAAATTAGCAAATTTAATCATTGGAAATTGTTTTCTATTGTTAAAGCCAAACATCTTTTTTTCTTTTTCTCAGCTAAAAGCTTTTTGCCTTCAATACAGCCACTGGTGGTTATTAATAAGATGGGAATGTCCTAAAATTTCCATAAGTATATTTGAACTCTATAAATTCTACAGTTCATATCAGGGATTCAGGTTGAACTTTTTAAAATGCTAATATATGTGAATAAAACATAAAGTGTAACATAAATTAATATCTACCACTTGGAATTGAAATACAAACAAAAGATGATTCATGAATATGGTAATGATTGTTCTTTGGCACAAAATCTGAAAATACTTTATGCATTTTAAGTGAATTTAAATTTTAAGTAAACTTCTGGAGTATCATTTTCAAGCTTTAGAATTAACATTCAGCAAAAGTCATTACATAGCCACAACCTGGGATTCTTGAAAATCTAGCAAAAGCTAAGAATATAGTTGATTTTATTCCCACTAAGAAGAAAAATTTAACAAATACACCTATCTGTGTAGAGAAGTGTTGTTATACGTTACTTAAAATTAAGTTCATTAGCCCTGGCAGGTGTGGCTGAGTTGGTTGGAGCATCATCCTGTAAACCAAAGGGCTGCAGATTCAATTCCTGGTTGGGGCACATGCCTGGGTTGTGGGTTTGGTTCCCTAGTCGGTGGCATGTGAGAGGCAACTGACTGATGTTTCTCTCTCACATCGATGTTTTTCTCCCTCTCTCCCTTTCTTCCCCCCTCTTTAAAATCATCAAGTATGTCCTCAGGTGAGGATAAAAAAAAATGTTAATTAAATCAAATTTTTACTATTCATACCTTTTATCCTAGTAGATGTTAAATCTACCTTAAAAGTAACAAAATGAAATTCACTGCAAAATACTCTAAATTTGCTGCTCTTCACTAAACTCCCAAAGCAAACACAACAGTCTTATTTCAGTGCTAAGATAATTAAAACACAACCCATCACACTTTCTTGCATCATATATAAAGCTGAGGAAGTTTTTATTTTATTCAGCAAAGATGTCTTAAATACAAGTATTTATAAGGAATGGACTTACATTCTGTCATGCTATGTCCTATTTGTGGTAATTCTTTTACTCTCAAAATTTACAGTTTTGGAATTAGAGAGTGTTAACCTCCAGGTAAGTTTTAAGTTTTTCTCTCCAAACTGCTTACCTGATTATATTTCTGCTGTGTTTCACCATTTAAAACAGTGATTTTTCTATCAGTGTGCTTTAGTTTTTAAAGTATGCACTACCTATTTAGTCAGGGGCACTGACCTCTTTTTTTCTTAGATTGTCAAATAAAAATATGCAACAGCCAACCCTGGGCAGGGTAGCTTAGTTGGCTAGAGCATTGTCCCCATACACTAAGGCCGAGGCTTCTATCTCTGGTTAGGGCACACACAAGAAGCAACCAATGAATGCGTAAACAAGTGGAACAAAAAATCGATGTTTCTCTCTCTCTGCCCACTCCCCAAAATCAATGAGTAAGTTTTAGAAAAATGACAACACCCAGCACAACAATCACTATCCAGTGTGAAAGAATCAAAATTGTACCTATTTTTTTGGTCAGATTGGCAAAAAATGTTTTATGTTTTTTGGTGTGCTGCAGAACTTTAGTAATTAGTATATGTGTACCATGAAATGAAAAAGGTTGAAAATAGCTGGAAATATGTGCAGCATGCTTGGAAAACATCTTTTCCCTGCCAGCTCTGGCATGGATATCAACCATCGTGACATCAGGGGGTCAAGGGGCATTTCCAAGGCCCATCTAGAGATAAACATCATTAACCTAAGAAGATAGATTAAGAAGAAATCAGAAAAGCAGAGATATTGTGTTGGTCAAAATTTTCATTTCAAATGTTTCACAGCTTTTTATGATGTAATTTTCAGCCCTCTCGTAAGCATGTTGAAAACATTACCATTCCCCTTATTCAAAAAAAGAAAAAGAAAAAAAAAGGAGTTAAAATATGGGATGACTCACTGTCCTGCCCAGGACCACAAATGTCCATGGGAAAACAGAAACCAGAGCTCACCTTGTGAGTGAAAGACAAACATCTGTTTGCAGCCTTTGTGCACTGAATATGACTGCGTTTTGACCTAGAGTTACCAGGCAGGGAATTTGATGCACTGCCAGAAAGCTCTAGTTTGGCTCCCCTTTCTACCCAGCCTTCTCCACAGGTGATCACGCAGAAGACAGAAGCTGACTAGTTCCTCACCATCCAACCTGAAATGCTGTCCACTCCCTGCACAGCAGCCAGGCCTCTGGCAGCAACGGTAGCTCTGCACGCCCGGGCTACGAATGGAGGGCCCACGCAGAGGTGGCAACAGAATAAATGCTGGCTCTTGAATCAGCTCAAGGACGGGATCCGTTCACCGTGGCCCCCAAACCTCCCACCTGCCTGGAACCTTAAGTTACTGTAAAAGCTATGAAACATAAAGACAGAAACCAATGAAGACAGATGGCCCTTTTTCTCAAACAAGCCTGGTGACTTGTGAGTAAGGAAAACAAAATAGCAAGGAAATTCTAAAGGACTTTGAGGGTTTCAGAGAAGCCTATACAGCCAGTCTCTAAGAGATTTTCATTTAAAAAAGCATCAAACACCTGTGTGTTTGATATGCAGAGTTGACTTTAAAAAAATCAGGTATTACAAAGTGGTTAACTGAAAGATTATTTCTTCCCTAAAGATAAATTTGAATTTGCTCTACTCAATTTTTCTGAAGTTTAATTTTAAAAGGGCAAATACACATTAAAAAAAAATTTTTTTTTATTGACTTTGTTTTTAGAGAGGAGGAGGGAGGGAGAAAGAGAGGGAGAGAACATGGATGTGTGGTTGCCTCTCAAGTGCCCCCTATTGGAGACCTGCCCCGCAACCCAGGCATGTGCACCCTGACTGGGAATCAAGCTGATGTAATTTTCGGCCATCTCTTAAGCATGTTGAACCCTTTGGTTCACTGGCTGGCACCGCATCCACTGAGCCACACCAGTCAGGGCTGTGTACACATTTTATCACTGATCCCCATGTGTGTAAACTTTAACGCTGGATATTAACTGATAAAATTTCCAAAGAAAACTGTCAAATAGGTCATTAGAGTTTCGTGGTTCTTTGTGCAGTTTATACAACATAAATCTTCACCTGATTCTCAAATACGAGAATGGGAAATGTAACAAGAGGAAAGGCAAGTGACCTGAGCTCTTTTGCAGTGACGGTGGCCTTATCCATCCATTCCACCACTGTCCTTGGTAAGCAGGATGCAACTAACAGAAACCATCCAAGAATACAATTAATAGCCATAAAACAGAAGCATTTTTCTTTGATACGATTAGCTGGCTCTCATGTAGAGGAACTCAGAACAACACTCTAGCCTCATCCGCAGGAGGCTCTGATGAAGGAGACCACCCAGGCACCCAGGAGGGCCTGCAGTCCCTCTGAGCACAGACACGCAGAGCCCGGAAGAAGCAATGCCACCCCCACCTTTCGGTCAGAGCCTGCCTCCTGTTCTGGACCTGCTGCACCCAAACTGCTGCACCGAAATTCTCCACGGCTGCCCTCTGGGGGGCCCAGCCACCGGAAGGCCCGCTCCTCCCCCTTGGCGTACGGCCCACCAAGGAGTGTCCCATTTCCCATGCCCACCCCTGGGGCACCAGGCCCTCCTCTTCTTGTTCCGCTCCACCAACTGACAGCCCTTCCTTCGCCCCTTTCTGAACTCTACCCCAGCAGCGCTTGGACACCAGAGCTCTTTCCCCATGACCCCTCCTCCCAGGGCCCATTCAGGAGGGAGTAAGGGGAAAGGGTCCCCCAACCAGGGGTCGGCCATGGCTGCGGTCCTGAAGTGGGACAGCTGGACGCTGGCAGGCTGACATGGAACTTATTCTAATAGAAACAAGTGTAAAGGGTGGTCAAATTCCACTGTATAATTAGTACAACTGTTCAGCTATATTATTAGTAGTAGGTATTTAAATCTCCACAACATTGCTTGTATGGAAAAAATTTATCCCGAGCTGTAACCAACAATCTGCAAATTTTGAAACTCATTCCCAGTCATGAAATGCACCTTGCCCATATGGAGTACATGATCTGAAGAATCTTTACACTTGCCTTAAGAAAGACAAATACCATATGATCTCACAATATAAGCAGAACCTAACCAACAAAACAAAGATGCAAGGAGAATAAGACAAGCAACACTGAAAGAAAAAGAAACCAACAGAGACAAGAGGGAAGGAGGGGGGGGGCGGGGAAAAGAAAGGGAAGGGGCAAGTCAAGGAACATATAGTGAGGACTCATGGACAAAACCAAAGGGGAAGAGCTGAGGGAGGGAAGGAGGGAGGGGGCAAGGGAAAGTGGTGGGGGGGAGGCGGAGCCAAATGTATTTGGAAAAATAAATAAATAAATTTTAAAAATATATAAAGCAAAAATAAATAAATAAACTTTTTTGTAAAAAAAATGACTAAAAAATACAGTGTGGTCTGAAAGTTTAATATTCAATGCCCAAAGTTAAGGTGGCAATACATTAAGAAAATAAAAGGTCGTTTTTAAAAAAATTATCCATTTTACATTTATTCTTAAATCTCCTACATAATAAACATTTCCACACTAAATGAACATATTAGGCAAGCAACCTAGATATGTTCATAACCATAATTCTAATGCACAGCATGGTAATGTACCTTCACATATTCTCTCTGCAACATGAATTTAATAATATCTGTTATAGATTCTTTAATATCAGCAGGAAGATTCTGGAAAAGGAAAAGAAGAAAAATTAATTTTGGAAGATATCATGTGTAGATACAGACTGAATTTATTCTTATTTCATATATTCTATTTTCTTTAAAGATTTTATTTCTTAATTGGGTTGTTTGTTTGGTGTTGAGTTTTTAAAGTACTTTGTAAATTTTGGATATTAACTCATTATATGTCCCAGCAAATATGTTCTCCCATTCTGTGGGCTGTCTTTTTACTCTGTTGATGATTTCCTTTGCTGTGCAAAAACTTTTCAGTTAGTTTGATTAGTCCTATTTGTTTATTTTTTCTTCAGTTTCCTTTGCCTGAAAAGATATAGCTGATAAAAAATTGCTCTGAGCCATTTCTGAGATTTGACTGCTTATGTTTTCTTTTAGGATTTTTATGGTTTCAGGGCTAGCATTTAAGTCTTTGATCCATTTTGAATGTATTCTTGTGTGTGGTGTAAGAAGGTAGTCTAGTTTCATTTTTCCCTACGTATCTGTCCAACTAAAAAACAGGCAAAGGATCTGAATAGACACTTCTCCAAAGAGGACATATGGATTGCCAATAAACATATGAAAAGATACTCAATGTCACTCATTACAGAAATGCAAATTAAAGCCACAATGAGATAGCACTTTACACCTGTCAGAATGGCCATCCCTAATAAATCAACAAACAACGAAGTGCTGGTGAGGAGATGGAGAAAGGGGAACCCTTTTGCACTGTTGTGGGCAATGCAGACTGGTGCAGCCACAGTAGAAAGCAGTGTGGAGATACCTCAAAAAATTAAAAATGGAACTGCCTTTTGACCCAGCAATCCCACGTCCGGGAATATATCCAAAAGAACCGAAAACACTAATTTGAAAGAACATAATCACCCCTACGTTCACTGCAGCATTTTATACAACTGCCAAGATAGGGAAGCAGCCCAAGTGTCCATTAATAGGTTATAAAACAACTCTGGGACATTTACACAATGGAATACTTATTTGGCTGTAAAAAAAAAAAAAGAAAAGAAAAAGAAAAGAAAATGTTACTCTTTGCAACAGTATGGATGGACCCGGAGAACATTATGCCAAGTAAAATAAGCCAGTCAGAGAAAGACAAACACCATATGATTTCACTCATACATGGAATCTAATGAACAAACTGAAGTAACAAGGGAAATGCGGACAGACTCATAGATGGAGAGCAGGATGACAGCTAGTTGCACGGGGCACGGAAGGAGAGGTTAGGGGGTGGAGGGATTGAGCAAAAACAGAAAAAGGACTCGTGGACATGGACAACAGTGTGGTGGTTGCTGGGGGAAGGGAGGATATAAGAGGACTAAAATGTAATGTAAAAAAATACAATAAAGATTTTTTTAAAGATTTCATTTTTTTTTTTTTTTAGAGAGAGAGGAAGGGAGGGAGAAAGAAAGGGATAGAAATATTGACTGGTTGCCTCTCATATGCACCCTACCAAACCTGCAAGCCAGGCACAAGCCCTGATCTGGAATTGAACTGAACTTTCATTTTGCAGGATGATGGCCAACCAACTAAGCCACACCACTCAGAGCTATATGCTATTTAAAAAAAAATCAGTTATGAAAAGCATATTTTGAGATACCTCACCCTTTTTTGCAGCTTTCTGAAAAGGGGTCTGAGATAGGACTCAGTCTGTTTCTGCATAGCTCTGTTCAGTTTGCCCTGCACACTGCACTTCATGTAGTCTCCTTGGGCATTCAATTCTTCAGCCCAAACACCAAAGAGGAACTGTAGAAAGAATGGGTACATTTAGACCACAATGCCACCCAGTGGTTGAACAATTTGAAAAGTTCGCTAACACACAAAGCCATATAGTATCATCCTTAGAGTAAATTTCTTTACTGATTACATTATTATCCACTAATACTTAATGAACTATATCTGCTGATTCTGTCACATATGCTTTAAAGGAGCACCTTTGGCAATTCACAAACTTTCCTGTTCTATATATATTCCTAGTTTTAAGATAATCCATTTCTCCCTGAAAAGAATTACCAAATTACATGAATAAGTATTTGATAGAAATAAAGTTTTACTTATATTTCTGTCACATAAAATTTGCCCCACTTAGATTATCAGCCATAACACCATATATACTCTGCTAGTTAATTAACCCCTTAAGTACGATGTTGTAGTATTTGGACTTTCTACTTTTGCAGTAGAGACAATAATTTAATTTAAAATTCCCACTAAAGCACCTAATTAAAAGAGACGAACAGAACAGAAATAGAAGAAACTATTACCCATATACTCCCCCAACCAACCCCGGTAAACTACCGCAGTGCCCACTGGGTTCACCTGTACAATGAGTGCCCTTCTACAGGCACATAAACCACAAAGACCGAGGAGAACATTCCCAACTACTGGCCTTCGTGTACAATTCTATATAAGGAGGTGCTCTTATTCTAAAATTCCAGTTCATAATATACAGTTTCATGCCCTATCTAGTTTCCTATCATTTCCTCAACAGATTCAGAATCTTTTTAAAAAAAGATCTTATTTATTTATTTATTTGTTTGTTTGTTTATTTTTAGAGAGAGGGAAGGAAGGGAGAAAGAGGAGGAGATGAACACTGATATGAGAGAGAAACATCAATAGGTTGCCTGTAAGACATGCCCAAACTAGGGACCCAGGCGTGTGCCCTGACTGGGAATCAAACTGGAGACCTTTCACTTTGCAGCACTGAACACAAAATATTTTTGAATAAATGCTAAACTACTAAAGACACATATGCTGAGAAGAAAGACGGAGTGAGCATATCACAGCAAGAATAAACAGCTATCTGAAGAGCTGAGAAAATTAACAGTCTCTAAAAGGTTACTGATGTGTTCACATTTTTCACTGCCAATGTTGTCTTCCCTCCTTCCTTTCCTTACTGTCATCACCTCCCATAAAAGCTTCTAGAACGTTGGTAGTATGCATAAAAAGTCTTAGAAATGTACAGAGACTTTAATCTTTCATACATACACTCCAGAAATCACACTTCTAGAAAATTTTCCAATGGAAATAGTCATACATTATTATGCATGCAATCACATCTTTAGAAGGATACTCCTCTTAGTATGGTTTATCATAGAGAAATGCTGAAGCAATATAAATGACCATTAATAAAGTAATGGTTTTTAAGATGTCTCTATATTTTGCCCTAGAAAAATGTATGAAGGGAAAATAAGTTACAAAATAGTACATTATTTAAAATAATTTAGACAAATAGTATAATTATTAGAGTATACACATTAAATCAATGTGCTTAGTTTTTAAAGTTTAGAATGATAGATACTTTTAAAAGTTTAACATAACAGTATCAAGAAAAGCAGAGATAATTTAGAACTTCATGAAGAAAACTGGCTAGCCGCACTACAATTGAGTTCAGTAAGTCATCTTCTATGGGAAACAATCACATTAAAATACTGGATAGAACTAGAAATAAATGCAAATGCTGTGCAGTTTTCTTTTTTCTACAAAACACTCTACATAAACTTACCTCTTGCCTAGAAAGAGTCATGGGTAACCTTTTCCTCTGCCAGTTCAAGTTCTAACACTGGATTCGATGAAGTTAATGGTTTCTGATCCTCCTCTTTTGGCTGTATCAATAATAGCAAAAAAAAAAAAAAAAGAAATGAAAATTCAGCTTTTAAAATATAGCTAATATTTATCATTCTATTAGCTTAGCTGTTCATGAATATTAAGTATATTTTAAATATTGAAGGTCTTCTAAACGTTCCTTCAAGGAGAGAGCTCACAATAAATGTGCAGCTTTTAAGAGCTTACCAAACTTGTCAAATTCGGGGATGGCATAGATAGAAAGTATGCACGTTGGAGACAGCATTGTTGCTACAGAAGAGTGACATAAATATAACAGTCTCCAAAATCAAAACCTTACAAGAGCTGAAATTTAGACTCACTTTCTCTCTCAACTCTAAAGAATCTCACTCTTTTCTCAAAAAACAATCAACCTGCTTCTCCTCTTTCAGAAAATCATCTTACAGGGTTGTCTGATCCTTGCTCTGGGTTCGAAATGAAGGTCAGAGAAAAGAACTGCTTTCCAACAGAAACCTGTGAAGCCTCAAGATGCAGCTTTTTCCTACCCTAATTTTTGAAAGGTGTTATTCCAAGAGCACAGAAATCATGTCTGGACTTGTAGAAAAATTTCCAGTGCTATACAGAACTTGCCCACAAACGGAGCTACAATCTTTGACTCCCGGTCAGGGTGGATGCCTGGGTCCCTGGTTTGGGTGTGTCTTGCAGGCAACCGATTGATGTTTCTCTCTCACATCAATGTTCCTCTCGTCCTCTTTCTCCCCTCCTTCCCTCTCTCTCTCAATAAATAAATAAATAAACAAATAAATAAAAATAATGTAAAACAACACCTCTCTACTCATACCACACAAAGAAAAGTGAACATACTTGTTGATATGAACCTGCAGAGAAAAAAAAATCTCTTCATATATTTCCTTGAGTCTGCCGCCCCAGTCACAGTTTGGGAAAATCAAGTTCAGCAATTTATAAGCCCCACTGTGTGGTCTGTAAAACAATATTGAAATATGGTTTCCCAATTGACCAAAATACAATTCTAAGATACCAAAAGAAGTAAGATTAAAAAAAAATTAAAAGATCAACATTAAGGAAAAACTCACATTCAACCAAGAAATGCTAAATGGTTAAAATTACATAACTTATGATTCTATATTTTATGGCTAATAGGTTTATCAGTATTAATAGTGTAAAAGAAAATTGAGATAAAAAAACTATCTTTCATATTTTTACAAACCAAATTAGCATCAAGCCCTAAAAAATGGGAACTGGTTTCGGTAAGGAAACAAAAAGCAATACAGGCTGTATTTCCATTACTATTGAAAAGGAAATATTTAAAATGTTTTAGAAAGAACAAACTGTGCTTTCTCTTTAAGCATAATAATAGGTTATTTCTCCAAAAATCTTAGGATGAAAAGTAGTCTTAATTATGGAATGGCAGCTGGATTCAACAGGATAAGCAATATCTTTACAGTATTTGTTTTGTTCCAGTGCTTTCCTATGTATAAGCAAGAAAGTACTGCCATATCACTGAAGCAACCTACGCAAAGCAAAAATCCCACCATTTAAAAAAAATGATTTTCCTACCTTATAAAAAAGTTGAAAGGTTCAAATTTAAAGAGTTGGGAAAGCAACTAGTCAGCAGACTAAACCCAGGGTAATTCTTATTCCAAATCGAGTTGGAAGTTAGACAATATTGGGCAAGCAAAACATAGGAATTGGTCTTTCTGAATATCTATTCTATGGTAACTTACACAAAACATATTCTAGTTTCCTAAATTAGAAGTAAATGAGCCCTAGCTGGTGTGGCTCAGTGGATTGAGTGCTGGCCTGCGAACCAAAGGGTCATGGGTTCAATTCCCAGTCAGGGCACGTGCCTGGGTTGCAGGCCAGGTCCCCAGTAGGGGATGCCAAGAGGCAACCACACATTGATGTTTCTCTCCCTGTCTCTAAAAATAAATAAATATATATATATATATTTTTAAAAAGAAGTAAGTGAAATCAATATATTCAGGGAAAATAGCAAAATACCAATATAAACTTTCATATTTTAGAAACCTATCAGAAATATAATGACATTTTTAAAACTTGCCCTTTCCCAACACTACAAAATAAAACCAAATGCATATATGTGCCATCTGCATTACTCAATGCTTCCCTCTAAAAATGCTATGTCAGATAAGTTTATTGCCAGAACTTTCAACGTGACATGCACAAGGGGATTGTTTTAAATTGATGTTTCACAAGCAAAAAGTTGATTTCAAATTTATGATTTGGTAAAAGTATTTCAGAATCTCTGAAATTTGATTAAAGAAATTACTAAAACAGATACAGTCTTTTTAAAATAACTTAAAATATAACTTCACCTCATTACCATTAACTCCTCCCAATAAAAAACTTAATACATTTTTCAACTAGGTAATCTCAAAGATAATTTCAGTCATGCTTCTAAAATATATAGTCTTCCAGAAAACTCATTTGTTTCTAACAAAGATTTCAATATTACACTTTCTATCAAAGAGATTGGACAATATTTGAAATGCAGTTTCTTACGACAAAAAAGCGCATAAATGTGCTATGGCACTATACTTCTGGTAGAGGTACTTAGGGCTAAAAGGAATTATTAACAATGCAAACATAAAAGCAATGCTTTGAATATTCAGGAGGAAGAGAGGAAAATACCACTGCTAATACCATTGTTGTTTAAGGAATAAAATGGGCTTTTAGCCCCTTAAAAATAGACTTTTATTGGCAGAGGTGGGGAGGGGAGTGGTAGGGAGATGAACATGAGGGAACATCAGATCCAGGACTTAATTAAAAAAAAAAAAATCAAGCTTTGATCTCAAGCCACCTCATGCTGTCCACAGAAGGCCAAACCATTCCAGGCCAAAAGTCATGCATGTGATTTCCTGAATTCAAGATAAAAAAGAAAAAAAATGAAAACAAGAACTCATACCTCTCACTTATAGGCTAATGTATAACATTGACAAATTGAACAGTGATCAATAATGTCACTTTAACAAGAGTTGTACAAATTTAAACTCAAAAATAGACAATTTAACATAAAAGCAGGAAGTCATACATTGTAGCCACATCTTTCAAAACATGTTTCCTCTTTTTTTTGCAAGTTCACTACACTTGAAATATTTTTTATTTTCCTGTTGAAGAATGAAATAAGTTAATAATATATCCTTGAATAAAATTTCATGCCCCTTAGTCAAGAACTAGGAACATTCCTTCATTTTTTCAAGAAACTGGCAAAGTATTTTTGGTTCCATAGAGAGTATATTGATTTCCTGAGCACACCACCTATCCTCGATTCCTACTCTAAATTTGAAGTATTGTACATATTTTTCTTGCAGTATCACTTTAACAGGCATATTCAACAGCAAAGAAAAGTAACCAACAATATTTTCCAAGTGTGTACACTGTTTTGATTTACTTCTCCAATATTTGAGTTCAATGACAATCTGTACAAATAGATTTATTATGAACTACATAAAAAAGAAGGGTTGAATTATTCATTTCTAACAGAAGTGGTGGAACAAAAATGATGGTAACTCCAGGTAACATCTTAAATTTCATTATCAAGAGAGCTTCAAGAGTGTGCCACGTTCTGTTTATCATTTGGAATCTTACAATATTAATTAACTATATTTTCTTAATGCTGAAAATTGTATCAATCAAGTCTTAAAGTAACCTAAACACAGAATGGTTTCAGAGACTCTTTTTATTAAAAAGAAAGTTTTCCCTGGCTGGTATGCCTCAACTGGCTGGGTGTACTTCCGAAAACCGAAAGCCTGCAGGTTCAATTCCCAGTTGAGTTGTACAAGAGGCAACCAATAGATGTTTTTCTCTCATATCAATTTTTCTCTCCCTCTTTTTCTCCTTCTCTTCCCCTCTCTCTAAACCCTCTCTCCCTTCCTTTCTCTAAAAGCAATGAAAAAATGTCCTCAGGTTAGAATAAACAAAACAAAAAGATAGTTTAAAGGCATTTGTTTTAATATGACTTTAATATAACTTTTAATATGTTAAGAAGAAAGCTCTAGCTCTACTGTGATGAGGAAAATAAATTAGTTCTTTCTATGTCATATATAAAAGTATCCTCACTGTTAAACCTACCATCCCTAATTTGGAGGCTTGTTGCTATGTACTGCTCTTATTTCATTGATGACTTTGCTCAAATAAAGATGCTGCCCTACCTCAGTAGTAGTAATTATAACAGTGCCTCATTATCACTCCTGCTCGGGTATTTCACACCGCATAGTCCAAAGTTCATTCACTCAGGCAATGCCCATCTATGGACGCTAAGACCATTACAGGGGAGGTTCATGGCAAGCAACGGAAAGATCACGCCACCCCATACTTGAACGTGCTGATCAGGCCAGGCATCAAGAAAACATATATACCTTCTATGTGATATATATATATACCAGAAAACAAAGAGGCCGGTTTCTCTTAAGTCTTGATAAAGTACAATTTTACCAAATCTTGACCCTTGAATATGGAACCTTTAAATATTTGATATGATGAAATAAGAAAAATGAAACATACAAAGCACTTCTGCTACATAATGAAATGGGATCATTGTCTAAAAATAAAGGCACTTGTGCAATTGATTATTCAGGCTTGTATATTGGACAGTTTCTCAAAACTGAACAAAGCAAGCCTGTCACTTCAAAGAAAACAATGAGAATATTTATAACCTATGATAAAATTCCATCTTTCAAGCAAAGATTAGAGTGGTGGGAGATATGTATCTATCACTGTGAACTTGATGGTGTCCCAATACTTAGAGGCTTTCATGCTAAACTAGGAATAATGTCAATGAAAGTGATTTTTCTATATCATCTAATGAAATATATCAACATAGAGATCTGCCTAACTCAGTGAACCATAATGTTACAAAGGCAAGATGTGACAAAATCATGCATAGGAGAAAATCTATGAGCAGAATGGATCAGAATGGAT